CCACTTGTTTCTGTCTGAGCTGCTCACAGTATTTTTCTGTGTTAACTCATCTGTGAGAGGCGAAGTCTGTGGGTCACTGCTTAGGGTTGTGTCCAAATGCTTTCCTGTCTGAGATCAGCCTCATGTAAATGTTCCACTGTGTTAGATAAAATGTTGCTGCAGCAACTTTGTCAACTTCACCGCACTCCTGAAATGCACAACTTTATCTGTTGCGAGTCGTAGACGAGGGCAGAAGAGTTAAAATGTAAAGAGCACTTTTTGCGGATGACAAAGAAGGACTTGTTTGCTGAAGCACGGAGGGATCTTACTTTCTGACAAACAGTTTAGCAGAACTCATTCCAGGAACAAGTGGAAGTGACGTGCATTGCTCTAGGCATGCACTAAATTCGTTGCTGAAATCTTCACAGATGTTTTTTCTCGATAACGTTTGGAATTGAGCATTGAGCCCTGCAGTGTGAACCTATCCATGGAGGCAGCCGTTCATACTTGCACCCTCACCTAGTGCCAATTTAGAGAAGTCAGTTAACGTAGCATGTGTTTTTGGAAGGAAGGGATCCAGAGAAAACCCATACATGCATGGGGACGTCATGTTAACTCCATACAGGAAAAGGCTCAGCTAGGAATTATGTGACCCTCAACAGTCTGAACAAACTGAGCCACCTTATTGCCTATTTATACAGTCAGATTATAATTTTAGGGGAATTATTTTTAGTGATGTCAAGGAGGTTGAACATAGTTACACTGAGCTGTTTAAAAAGTTTTAAAAAATCACTCAAAAGAGAAAAACTAGGGCTCAAATACTGTAGTTTTACCAAGAACGTAAAACAACTACTCAGTGTTTTGGTTGTTATGTGTCTCTTATTAATGGAAAAAACACAAAATCATGAAAGAAGGTAGAGGAAAAAGCATTGGTTAAATAAATAAACATAACAACTAAAAACTGTTGGTGAGGGTTTAGCGTTAAAAGCTGCAGGGAAATAAAAGGAAAAATTGAGACAATCAGCCTGACAGTCTGTTAGTGGACCGATGGCACTCTGTCATGCCAGCAAGATTAAACCACACTTCAGCCAAGGAGGTGAGAAACACTAAGTCTGGATATGATGTTGTGCCAAACAAGTCTTTGATTGTTGGAGGAGAGGAGATGCATTTCAGTTTGTTTCTTAAAACAACGATTTTAAAAAGCTTTTAATTCCAGCATCAACCCAGGCACCTCCAAACATGGTAGTATTATAAAATGTTTCTGCTTCATTCAGCTTCCAGATGAGAAATAATCGTTTTTAAACAAGACAAGTAACATTTGTTAGAAAAAAAATCTATTATTCCTTGAAGGAAAACAGTCCCATATGCCACACAGTACAGCAGTGGTTCCCAAACTTTTTGTCTTCTGACCCACAAAATATCCATGGCAAAACCTTGTGACCCCAAATATTACTGGTCTGAGTACATGAACTTTGTTAATAACCCTAAAACACAGGCTTTTTGACAATCTAAACAGCTTGTACACAAATATAAATACTTATTTTTTACTTATTTTGGGTTTTTGTAATAATTATAGGGAAAATATTACATCAGCAATTATTTTATTACCCTTTAAATTGATTTCTGGAGATTATCCAAGGTGCTTCATGACCCATAATTGGGTCCCAAGCCCAACTTTGGGAACCAAAGTGCAGTGGTTTCCAAATCTTTTAGCTTTTGACCCACAAAATAGTACAAAACCGTAGCAGAGACCTGTGTCCCCAACTATTTTTGGATGATAAACATTTGTATCAGGTCAACAAAACATGGGCATAGTAACAATATTTTTATACTACATTTATCCATTTTAAACTAACCTCACTCATTTGTAACAACTAAGGCAAAAATGTCATTAATTCAGAAAATCTTTTCAGGACCCCACCTTGATGTTTCGGGACCCCACTTTGGGTCCCGACCCCAACTTTGGGAAACACTGCAGTACAGTATACCAAATGTAAACATCAAGATTTATTTACAATCTGTTAGTTTGTATGGGTCAGTCTGAACAGCTACCAAACACAACTTAAGCTCAATTTGTAAAATGGACTGAGTTGTTGATATTTTTCTGTTTAAGTTTAATTAGCTGTGATTGCCATTCTTAATTTATTATAAACTGATTTCATATGAGTACAGACGAGTCTGTGTGAGTTATAAAAAGTGAAGAGTTGTCACAGCTTCTTAACAACAGAACTAAGAGTTACTGCAAATCTGTCATCGTTATAATGATGGGCAGGTTGTGTAAGCTCAGTTAGCTGCTTATTGTCTGTGTCAGGTTAGTTTTAGTGACTTTCTTATAAGATGTGGCTCATACTTGTGTTTTTCTATTTAAAAGGACCAAATATCTGCTATTTCTGACATAAAACACTTTGATAGGGTAAAGAAGTGACAAAAAATTTTAGCCTATACTTCGTGTTTAATCCTCCCCTGGCCTAACATTTACTTCAGATTTTAGTGCCAGTGAACTCTTGTTATTGTAACTGTGTGGAAAAACAACTTATATCTGGACCTCTGTTGCTGAGGTTATGTGGAGCACACTTGACATAAGTGACATGCCAAAAATAATGTGAAGGATGTAAAACGCATGCCAAATGGAAATAAAGATATGGATTTAAAGAGTTAAAAAAAGAAGAAACTGATCACGCCTCATACCAAACGAGGCATGACCCAGCAGGGCCTGAGTGTGTTTATAAAGTTTAGTTGCTGTTCAGGCATCTCACCCTGATGACATCATGAATGTGGCTCAACCACTGCTTCTGCTCGGCTCGACTACTTCCTGCCTTTTGTTCCTGAGTCCGACGCTGCCGTTGTAGTTTTAGTAAAATGGACCAAAATAGAAGAAGCATTTTTGGCATCCATGTTTTGATGTACTGTCAGCCAGCTGTTTTTTATTTATTTATTTATTTATTTATTTAGATTTGTAGATTAGTATGCTGTTGTTTTGTTGAGTGTGGGGTATATATCTGGCGTGAAAATCCATTCTTTAAATTTTGTTTTTGGCAACCACATGTCTTTCTGCAAATTTAGATTTAATTATTACTTTTAAGAATAATTTCTTGAGTCTTGCAAATGATTCTTGCATCATCCTGAACTGCTGACGTGTGTCATTTTGTTTAGGTGTAAATTGCAAGATGGAGTTAGCTTTTGGAGGTTTTACAGTTTTTGTTTGGGTTGATTTTTAAGAGTTAACATTAGTTAGACAGATGGATTTAAGCAGAAAATGAACTGCCTTTTGCACACTTGTTAGTACATGTTGTGGGTGTTGATGTTTCTCTCTCTCTCTCTCTCTCTCTGAAAAGCTTGGCTTCATAACATCTTCCAGAATCTAACTGGATTTATTTTCTTTGTGCAGTTTTAGCAAAAACAAAAACAAAAAAACACAATAGGTGCTCAGTGTGTTTCTGGACATCGAGGTCAAGAGTTAAAAACAGCAGCTAGTTATAACATCAGAAAAGTGGTGCACAGAGTGAGTGCAGCTGTTAAAAAGTCCACAGTGTTCATTTTAATATTTATCTCTACAACATTCTGGTAATGCATGATTTTAGGCCTCATTTTTGTGCATTAAATCACTGATAGATACAGCTAGATAAAGGTCAAGTCTCAGGACACCAGTGTAATTAATTATTTCAGAAAGGCCTTTTTCATTCTTTAGCACTCAAACAAAAACAAAAAAAAATTGCAAGTAGAAAATGTTTAACTTGCATGCATTAATATTTATCTTAATCCATTGTTACATAAACTTTTCACTGGTGGTCTTTTTCATGTTCCACTGGGTTCTTGTAAGTATATCTTTATTCAACATATTTCAGACCCCACTCACCAGCGTGGCCACTGTTGGACCTGGTTTGTTCTTTGGGCTTGAATGTTAATAATGTGTGTGTTGAGGACTTGCAAATTAGCGACCATTTCGGTGAGTTTTTTGATGTAAATTCTGTCTTGGAGCCCCCTCCCCCCCAGAGAGCAGATTCTGAAACAAGATGCTGTTGTCACTTTTTCTGCCTCTTTTGACCCATATGTCCTGGCTGGTATAAACCAACCAGATGATTTTATCAATTTATTAGACATCACTGTTCAACTGTTTTTAATGACTGTTCTATAACAAACACTAAATCCTCTGCTGTTAAAACACATACTCCTTGGATAAATGAGACCATCCGCTCTGCTAGACGCAACTGTAGGCAGGCAGAGCATCTGTGGAAGTCATCCCGTTTAAGACGCGTCAAAGTGGGCGAGAGGGTGCGCGTGCTATAGGTGACGCAATATATGACGCGCAGTTGGCCCTTTGTGGTGTCCCGTCGCAAGGTCGTGCACCTCCGGATTTTTCAAACTCCGTGGACATCAACAAACAAGATGGACGTGTGCAAGAAGATGTTAAAATGTTGGAAGGACCCTAAATTAAAGCTAAAGTTATCAGGGGAATTGGCATAAAAATCTTAGATTTAAACTTAGATATGTACATTACACTTCTTACATGTTAATAAAAGACAAGAGGTGGAAAGTCATTACTTTTATTTCATCTTTCTTGTTTTCATTCCAGCTTGTTATTGTAAAAAATAAATACTGTCCATATTAAATTCTGCTTCCTAGATAGGGTGAATTTGGCAAAGTGCTTGTGCTTTTACTCCAATACATGTACACCCAAAAACATTACAAAGAAATTTTGAAGTCCGTAAAATTCCACTGACAAATTGAGATTAAACACATCCAGATAGGTGGCGGCAGCATCAAATACTTCCAATGCAATGAACGAACACACCATCTCCTTCTGCGTCGTCGTCTCAATTATATATATATATATATATATATATATATATATATATATATATATATATATATATATATATATATATATATATATATATATATATAAATCACATCACATTGAGTGATTTAGTGATTCATTTTGTATTTAATGAAACTGTTAAACATGACTTTCGGTTTAAAACTGTGTCATTAAAGAATTTCTCACTTTTTTTTTCTTTCAGGTCCCTGAGATCATCAGTACGTTAAGGCAGGCTGGCAAAAGTTCAGCACGCAACAATGACATCACTGTTGATCCCAATAAAACGTCCACTGGAACTGGAGGAGGTGATTCTCCTGAAACATTTGTTTCCTCTTCAACAAACTCCACAGATCCTACCTCTGTTGTGTCTCCAACAACCTTTGCCAAAAAGTTTGAGGTACTGTTTTGTGGCAGAGTGAGTGTTGCCCACAAGAAAGCCCCACCCGCCCTAATAGATGAGTGCATCGAGAAGTTCAGTCAGCTGCATGGCTCCAGGACCACTGATAAAGGAGGAAATAGTGGGGGACTGGTGGATGGGTTGAGGAGGGCTTTAAGCTTCCAGTCCAACGGACTGGGAGGTGGTTCCGTTCGTAATGGTGCAGCAGGGAGCACCACTTCTGGGACACCACCTGTTCTGTTTAAGCGGGACCCCAGCTTCCCCAGTCTACGTGCCCTGGATGAGAACGGTCTCTCGCCGGAGATTTCTAATATCAACACTACAGATTCCCTCTCCTCTTCTACTAAAGTCCAGCCCACCAGCCTGCAGGAGAACCGGACCATGCTGTTCACGGTAACTTTTTCAGTACCACTCCAGCCATGAGCAGATTTTAACATTACTTAAAAAAATAGGAATCATAAATATGGGATATAAGATAAGATATATGGGATATGGGATATTTTGATATGAGTAGTTATAAAAAAGTTTTCAATCACAAATTAAAACTTCAAAATTTATAATTACATTTTCTGTAAACTGAAACAATTTTATTTAATGTTTTGAATTCCTCATACAAAGTTAGGAATAATTATTTATTCATACTGATATTTTGTTGGAAATTGAAAGTTTTGTTTTAATATTATTTTCCAGTGGATTTCCATACAATCTGACTTATTTTCCTCACATGCTGCCCCCTGCTGAGTATTTAGTAGAATGCAGATTTAAGACACTTAGACTCTGTTTTTGTAAATCCTCATGTGGAACAAAATGGAAATGATTTATGCCCACATTATTATTACTTAAAGATAAAGAAATGGTGATTGATGCACTGAGAATTAGCCTGTTATGTATCAGGTTGTCCCGATGAGCTGGATGTGTTCATTTTTCCAAACACAGTGACAACACATACATGTCTGGGTTTAGCTGTGTTCAGATCAGCCTCCTGCGTAAAACAGAAATGAAAAGCTTTTCAAATAGCCTCTTGTTCTTTTCAATCCAGATTTGTGTTTTTTTCTTCTTTTTTTTCATTTCTTTTTCTAATCTCAGCGTAAAACATGTTTGTTATTAGATACTTGGACGGAAACATGATTAAAAATAACATAGACTCAGCAAGAACAAGTGCTGACTGCAGTCCAAAACCACCAAAGCCACTCTCCTCTGATTGTCTTTTATTTGCACTCAGTGGGAATTCACCAGCAGGAGATTATCCTGTTTGTGTTCAGAACAGGAAATGGATCATGATTGGTGCAGGAATCACCAGGGCCTGGTACTGTCCTGCTCAGCAGATACAGACATCTTGTAGCTCATCGTACATCCTGCTGCCACCAGATTGACCTCGTTCATGTGACATCATCCCCTCTGATTTCTTCAGCTGTAAAGACACTAACGAATGGGTTATTTCCTTTAGAAATGATATAGTTGTGTTTTTAGTGAAGGAAAAAAAGAAACACATTTACTGATTTGATATGAAGCAGGAAGTTTTATTATTTTATTGTGAAAATAACGGTAACTCCCCTAATAATGTTGCAACTGGACTATCCCAGAGGCGTATATGGCTTAAAAATAACTCACTTCTAGAGAAAACATTGAAGCTGCCTAAAAAAAGTCCTGAAACTTATTTTTAGACTTTCTTTGTTTTATGGTTCCAAATTTCAGTTCATCATTTATGTAGGGTTTTTAGTGTAAACCACATTTACATGTTTATTTTTTATATAATTAGGATTAAAGCAAAAACCCAAGTTACCTTGTTCAAACATGTGAAGATATTTATAAACCACAGCAGAGCATCATCCCATCTTAACCGTCCTTTGTGTGTTTTTCTTGTTTTTTTAGGTGGGCAAGTCCCAGATCTTCTTGGTCAGTCCAGACACTAAGAAAGTAGCCATAGAAAAGAGCTTCAGAGAAATCTCTTTCTGCTCCCAGGTATGAAGCACTGGATTTCCTAAACAAAGTGTCTCTTTGAGTTTATCTTTAATATGACACATTATTTTTTCCATCTCTTTCCAGGGAATCCATCACGTGGATCACTTTGGCTTCATCTGCCGAGAAACGGATGAAAGTGGAAACTGGCACTTTGTGTGCTACGTCTTCCAGTGTACCGATGAATCATTGGTGAGATGATCCTGAAATTACTTCCTAATACATTTCGTATAGTACACTTGCTTTCCTGTATTAAGGAGGAATGAAGTGACTGTCTGACACTGACATGGCAAAGGATTTCTGCCAAGAAGAAAGGAAGTTGCACCAGAAACGTGCCAAGTTTGTGGGATTATTCTCAAAAAGACTCCCACTGGGCTCTGAAGATTTAAACACGCAAATATCACTCATTTATATATTAAAAAAAAGCTACACAGACACACTGCATCTTGTCTAGAAGATTGCATTTTTTCCTGAATGCATTATAATTTTAGATTTCTCGTGTTTGCCTGGGAAAGCGTGGAGCTTAGGTTTCATTTAGTGTTTAAGATGCAGCGCGGCTCCAAATCACAGAGACGAAGGCTCGGTGCATCTGTTCTCTGACTCACAGCATACCAAATGGTCTCTGTCATTTATTCCTCCTTATATTGGTAATATAGAATTATTTTTAGTGTACTGTAAAAAAAAACACTACTATTAAATGCAAGTTCCTTCACATTTTGTATATACAGTCGTTCTTTTGTTACTGATATGCAGACATTTGAAATGTCCTTCAGTAATTCCGTCTGCAATGACAGAACTGGGTTATGCTAGCATTTTATGTTTGTGAGTAATAAAAACAATTATGACAGCTGAATTTAACGTCTCTGTTTTGCTGTTGCAGGTGGATGAAATCATGCTGACTTTAAAGCAGGCGTTCACTGTGGCGGCCCTGCAGCACAATCAAAAGACTCAGAGCCAGCAGTGTGACAGCTGCCCCATGCAGCAGCTCCACAGGCTGTGTGAGAGAATAGAAGGTAGAGAAAAGTACCTTTATGATACAAGCTGAAAGGGATTTTAAATTGGTTTGGTAATCCTTGCAGTAACTAACATTCAAATTGTAATTTACATAATTTATTAAAATTAACATCTCGTGTTCACAGCTACATTCCCTCAGTTAATGGCTTCACATAAGGCCTAATATCACAAATAAGCTGCTACTGCTGCTCCATGCACCACCCAGAACTTTTAATATATACATTTTTTAACCATTGTAAAAAGGTTTTATCCCATGTGAAGGTAATCTAAAGCATAATTTCCAGCAGATTACAGCGGGTAAAATAAGTATTGAACACGTCACCATTTTTCTCAGTAAATATATTACTAGAGGTGCTAATGACATGAAATTTTCACCAGATGTCGGTAACAACCCAAGTGATCCATACATACAAAGAAATCAAACCATAAATGTCCAGAAATGAAGTTATTTGTAATAATGTGGAATGGCACAGGGAAAAAGTATTGAACACGCTTACTGAAATTTATCTAATACTTTGTACAAAAGCCTTTGTTGTCAATGACAGCTTCAAGACGCCTCCTGTATGGAGAAACTAGTGGCATGCATTGCTCAGGTGTGATTTTGGCCCATTCTTCCACACAAACAGTCTTCAAATCTTGAAGGTTTCGTGGACCTCTTCTATGAACTCTGATCTTTAGTTCTTTCCATAGATTTTCTGTTGGATTCAGGTCAGGTGATTGGCTGGGCCATTCCAGCAGCTTTAGTTTCTTTCTCTGAAACCAACTGAGAGTTTCCTTGACTTTGTGTTTCGGCTCATTGTCTTGCTGAAATGTCCAGCCACGTTTCATCTTCATCATCCTGGTAGATGGAAGCAGATTTTTATCAAGAATGTCTCTGTACATTTTTCCACTCATCCTTCCTTCAATTAGTTGAAGTTTGCCAGTACCATATGCTGAAAAACAGCCCCACACCATGATGTTCCCACCTCCAAACTTCACTGTTGGTATGGTGTTTTTGGGCTGATGTGCAGTGCCATTTGACCTCCAAACATGATGTGTATTCTGGCATCCAAACAGTTCAATGWTGGTCTCATCTGACCAGACTATATTCTCCCAGTATTTCACAGGCTTGTCTAAATGTTGTGCAGCAAACTTTAAAGGAGCTTCAACATGCTGTTTCTTCAGCAGTGGAGTCTTGCGTGGTGAGCGTGCATACAGGCCATGGTGGCTCAGTGCATTACTTATTGTTTTCTTTGAAACAATCGTACCTGCTAATTCCAGGTATTTCTGAAGCTCTCCACAAGTGGTCCTTGGCTCTTGGACAACTCTTCTGATAATTMTTTTCACTCCTCTGTCAGAAATCTTGTGAGGAGCACCTGGTCGTGGTCAGTTTATGGTGAAATAATGTTCTTTCCACTTCTGAATTATGGCYCCAACAGTGCTCACTGGAACCTTCAGAAGTTTAGACATTCTTCTGTAACCGATGCCATCATTATGCTTTGCAACAATAAGGTTGTGAAGGTCTTGAGAGAGCTCTTTACTTTTACCCAACATCAGATGGTTCTTGTGTGATGCCTGATCATCATTTGGGACTGAACCAGCTGATATTAACTTGCACTGACAAGGGGCAGGCTTGCTTTCTAATTACTTAGAGAGTTCAGCTGGTGTCTTGGCTTTCCATGCCTTTTTACACCTCCCTTTCTTCATGTGTTCAATACTTTTTCCCTBTGCCATTCCACAWTATTASAAATAACTTCATTTCTGGACATTTATGGTTTGATTTCTTTGTATGTATGGATCACTTGGGTTGTTACCAACATATGGTGAAAATTTCATGTCATTAGCACCTCTAGTAATATATTTACTGAGAAAAATGGTGACGTGTTCAATACTTATTTTACCCGCTGTATATGCAGCCTTATTATGTGGCCAATAAAACTAAATTCATATGAACCTATAAACATCTTTTTTATGTAGAACAAATCTGAACATTATCTGAGCTTCTTTATCTCATTTTTTTATTATTATTATGTAACTTAATTTTTCAGGTCTGCATCCATCTAAAACAAAACTGGAGCTTCAGAAACACTTGGCCACTTTGGACAATGATGAACAAGCTTCAGTTTTTGAGAACACTATGGTAATGTTTCTGTCTGTCTGTGGGCCTGAATGATAAAGTGAAACTAAAACAAACCAGTCAGACAGCAGTTTCAGTGCACATCTTTATTTAATGAATCACCTCAATACTTCAAGGTTTTATTGCTTCAGCTGGATTATCGTTTACACATTTTTCTCTAAAAACTTTTAAATAGTTCGAAGCACCTTTTATCGTACTTCATAGAAAGTAGCTCTTGTCTTTCTTTTACTCCAGTGAAGTCACATGTTTAAGAGTAATTACATGTTACACAAGTTTAAAAACACAAAAGGAACACAGGTTCACATTTCTGTACGACTCAGCTGACACCTGCTGGGGATGTGTCTGAATTACAACATCCCAACAGAGCTGAAAAACACCTGATTCTGTGGACAGGAACTGTAGTCTGAGTTGTTAAAAATAGAGGAGATTATTTTCCTCTGGCTTTTTACTCAAATCAAATGAAATGTATTTATATAGCACAGTTACTGGTAAGTGTTTTGTTTTATAACATTATCAGTAAAAAGTTTTTGGAGACAACGCTATCATGACTGGGATTGCTTTTCTCCTGTGAGGCACTTTCCAGCACCTTCCCTGCCAGCAATACTCTGGCAGCAAATAAAGAAAAAAGGTTGTGTAAACAGAAACCAGTATGTACTAGATAACTCCCTTTATGTATTTAACCACCGTTAAACTACTACAGTGTTGAACTACAGTATAATAAGGAAGAAGGAAAAAAAAACGTTTTAAATGCAGTTGTAATGTGTACAGCTGTTGGGTTCAACTTTTAGTTTTGTTTGTTTTGCAACATTTGTGATTCTTTAAAAAGGAGTACATTTGTAAAAGCTGATTAAATGTTATTCCATAATAGTTAAAATGTTAATACATGCTGTGCTTTCTGGGTCTCCAGCGATCTCGTCCTAAGAGCGATCAGGAAGAGAATGAGTTAGTGATGGCCTCTCTGAGGAGTCTGTGTGAGGAGAAGCAGAAGAACCATCAGCACGTAGTGACTGGAGACAACAAACAGGTACAAAACTGCACCTTCATTCTTCTCTCTGTCTAGTCTGTGTTGTAGTAAAGTTGGTGGTACCTCATCAGAAACCAGTCATGCTGGCAACAGATTCAACCTGATCAACACTTGTAATGATGTAGGTCTCATGTCAAAGTGTCATGGCAGTAACACTGAGTGATGAAACTAATCTAATCGAATTTCCCTCAGGAATCAATGAAGTGTTTTTATATTGAACTGAATTAAAACTGGGTTCAACACGTGAACCTCTCATTTTTGCACCACAATCTTATGTAAGAGAAATAAGCTTTGATTTCCAGAGAAAACAGAACAATTAATTAATTTGTGATCTGAAGAAAATCTTCTGTAGTACCCCACAAAAAAACAATAAACAAGCTCCCTCTGCAGCTGATGAAATTGTATCATCTTGAGTATTTCTCCTTTTTCTCATTCACAGTGATGCTTCATCTGTTTTGTGATTTTAGGTCTGTGAGGATGCAGCTCCTCAGGATACACCGCAGCAGAGCAGTAGTCGCCTGGAGGCGTTCAAGAGCAGAGCAAAACGCTCGCTTACCGAGTCTTTAGAAGGCATCTGGAAGGTATGTCTTCGTTTTTGTCTCCAGCTGCATCAGTTATCAGTGTTTGCTGTCAGCTTGTAAACGCATTAGAACACAAAGCGTGAACACGGGGTTGGTTACATGTAAACTATAAGGTCAAACCTTTGTGTGTTTCTGGTAGGGAAGCAGCAGGTCCAGACCTCAGAGGGACAACAGTCAGGGAAGTGAGAGCAGCTCTTCTTTTACATTCAACAGCAGCCAAGAGCAGCCTTCTCTCGATGATGCCTTGTCTTCCTCGCCTCAGCGACGACCCACCAGCCCACTCAAGTAAACACACCTATATACACATGTGCGCGCTCTGCGTCGTCAGCGTGGATTCCTCTTCAGTGTGCTTTCTCCTCCGTTCTTCTCTTCAGAGGCCACAGCTCAGCAGGGGACCTAAAACGTCTCGATAGGTCTCCCCCTCGGTCCTCCTCTTCCTCTCTCCCCGGCGACCCTGAGCTGCAGGGCTTCCGCCGACGAGCCAGCACGTTCAGCCATTCCCCCACCCCTTCCTCGTTACTCGAGTGTTCCCCGTCCCAGAAGCTATCCCACGCAGGGCAGGACCCCAGTGCAGCTACCAAACCCAAGCTCGTACGACACTACTCCGTCAGCACTGACTCTCCACACCAGAGCAAGTAAGGAGACGTGTTTGTGTTTTTATAGAAGGACTGCTTGTTAAAGGGATCCACGATTAGCTGCAACATCAGACTTTATTTCATAAACATTTATTTTAACTGTAAAATAAATACTGTAAAAATACTGTAGGATGTTTAGTTTTGTAAATTTTTTTAAATATATTTTAACACGGAGCCATTTTATTTACACACAAAGCATTCTGGGTAAATGATGACGTGGATAAGTCCTCGGTGTGAGCGAGCTATATCCACCCTGAAGGTTAATCTTGGACAATATCTGACGATCGGCTCTTTTAAATGAAACCAGAGAGCGTTGACAGAGAGGAGAAGGTAGAAATGACTCAGCCTGTAACTGAAAATATGGATGGAGGACAACAGAGCTGCTTCATGGAAGAAGAACCTCAGCTTAGCCTGTTAGCCTTCGCGCTAGCGCTGATGCTATATTGCCATATATGTATTAGCTCGGCGCTAGCGCGACAAGCTAAACTGAGGTCCTCCATCCATATTTTCAGTTGCAGGCTGAGTCATTTCTACCTTCTCCTCTCTGTCAACGCTCTCTGGTTTCATTTAAAAGAGTCAATCGTCAGATATTGTCAAGATTAACCTTCAGGGTGGATATAGCTCGCTAGCAGCCTCGCACCGAGGACCTATCCACGTCATCATTTACCCAGAATGCTTTGTGTGTAAATAAAATGGCCCCATCCGTGTAATATATTTTGAAACTTTTAGTTTAAAAATTATAAAAACTAAACAGCCTACAGTATTTTTACAATCTTTATTTTACAGTTAAAATAAATGTTTATCAAATAAAGTCTAATGTTACAACTAATTTTGGATCCCTTTAAGAGTTTTTGTATAAAAAATATGCGTTTTGGTGATTATACACACAAAAAAAGGAAATGTAAAACATTTTACCAAATTTTGCAAAACCCTACTTATTCTGTTGTTTCATTAAAGTTCTGTACATTCATAACACGTTCTATAGATGATCCATCCACCAGCTACACTTGTCGGCCTCTACACAAAACAAGAGTGTCACCAAGCTAGTTTGTGCTGTAAGTTATGATTTATCCAGTTGGCTTTACTTAAAAGCTGACAAAGAAAATTAAACTAAATTGGAATTTGTTGTCCAGTTGGTTTTCCTGTATTGTTGGTGTTTATCTAAATTACGTATCACTTGGTGACGTCAGTTTATAAGAACGAGGAATTAGACTGGTTTTTGTTCTTCAGCAGAACGTCTTTCAATGTCACTGAGTTGTAGAACAGTACATTTAAATGTAGCTCTATCAGAATGCTACATGTTGTCGCTCTCCTTCTCCCTTTTGCTACATTCCTCCCCCATCTGCCAGTAGACAACATGTAGAGCTTGGTCACGCTATCAAAATAATCACCCTCCAATTGAAGCTGAAATTAAAAGCAGATTTATTAATGAAACAAAAAAGCAAATAAACAGTAAGAACAATAAAAAATGTACGCCTTGTTTGGGAAAAATACTTTAAAAGACTGTTTTTATCCAAGCTCTGCTAAATCTACTGCTGATTCACATTTTTCTGTTTCCATTCACCTCTCGATGTCCACCACCCTCTCTTCTTCTTGGTTTTCTCTGTATTCGCACCGATTCTCAGAAATCTCCCAAACGACTCCACTCTTCCTCCACTTCCTTCCTGCTCTCCATCACACTCTCCTCTCCTTGTTCGTCATCCTTCCTCACCTTCTGCTGGAGCCAGGTTTAATAAGAGAAGGTGAGAACAGTGTGTATTCTCTGTCTTTTATGTTTTCATATACATATATTGTCATGCTTTCTTTAAGTGTGAAGAAGACCCTTTCAAGCAGAGAAATGTTAAGTCAGTAATTCATTAATTTAAGAATAAATTTAGTTTGTTTGCTTTTCCAATTTGAAAACCTTAACATATTTTTATTGTCATCAGCGGGATTAAAAGCAACATGTCTCTGTGTGAAGTGGGTCCATGTTTCTTTTGTCATCTGTATTTTTCCTCCTCTTCATCACTGCCATGTCAGTACTCTGGGTGGTCTCCGTGCCCGTCTCCACTCCTCCTCCTCTGTCCCTAATTTTCTGAAATTTCAATTTCTGGCTCCTGTCCAAGAGCATGATTGTCCCGAGCCAAAGAACAGGTACACACCGACACACACTCACGCAAACATTAAATATTAACACCTGTGTGTCAAGTGCAGAAATAATCACCTCTCTTTGTTCAATAGTTTACTGTAAATTATTAGATTTATTACGTATGTAAATTGTAGTATCTAATGAATCTTTGCACACATGACTATATTTATTTGTGTGCGTTTACAGCGATGTAGCTGGTCTTTCTACATCGACACATGAAAGTCCTCTGCGCAACCACCGGCACTCATGGAGGCAGCAGATCTTCCTACGAGTCGCTACGCCTCAGAAAGGCACAGATACGAGCGGTAAGACGTCACACACCCAGACGCATTTTCTTAAAATTAATTATAATGTTTCACTCATTGGAGATTAATTTTCATTTATTTGGAACACAGGGTCTGTAGTTACTAATGTGTAATTCACTGCCAGCAGTTCTAAAGGATTTAACAAACATGCCTAATTGGTGGTCGGTCAGCTGTTTTTCATACTGGAGGTTCAGTCATTTTGCTCAACACTTTAATAAATGTTACTTGTGTATTCACTTTTGAAGATTGTACAGTTTTCCTCGTGCAGTCACAAGTTTTAAATGTTATTTTTTTGTTGTATGTTTTTCTTTTTTCAAGTTATTCGAAACGATTTTGCACTCAGATTAAACAACAGCGCAGGCAGACTGTAGTGACGAAATGTTTCCTCTTTGTGTCACTCTTTTATTTGATGCAAAGGAGAACAATGGTGATTTTCAAAAGAGAGGAAGGAGAGAAGAATAGATTGATTTACTTGGGTTTTTTTTTTCAGTAAAATTAAATTAAAATTTGCTTTTTATATTTTTATACCGTAGTATAACCTTTAGAGGCTGGTGTGTTGAGTGATTAATTAATGGAGAAATGGCTGCTTATGAGCATTTACATGCATACAGCTTGACGTTCTGCAGTCAGAGAGAGGCAGAGGAGAAAACTCAGCTGTTGTGACGATGCTGTCACTCAGAGGAGATTTCACAAATGTCAAACAGATCAAAATACTGGAAGTTCAACTACCTCTTTAAAAGTTTTGAATTTATAAATGATCTGACTCTTTCATGGTTGTCTCTGCACTGCTGCATGCTTTTAGCCAGTTTCTGTGCTGATAAAGTTTGAAGTCATTTCATATTTAAACTTTAAAGAAGTGGTTTGGATTTACCATGATGGTGATCAGAATAATAATAATAATAATAATATTAATTTATTGTCATATTTGTCTCACATTTAACTGTTGCATTCTGAAAATGAGTTTTTTGGGATTATTGCCTTGAGCTAAGAAAAACAACAACCCAATCACACTTTATTATAGAGTTTGATCTCTGTCATGACCTGTGAGTCACTCTTCTACAAGCAGAGTGTGAGTCAGAGTAAAACTTAGACTTTTGTTGTTATTTTTGCTGCCAAATGTGGGTCATACAGCCACAGGATGTTTGCTTTTGTAATTTTACAACTTTTCCTGTCACTTGTATCAGAATATACCCACAGATTGTCTTTGCTGAAAATAATATTTTCTCCAGCATTTGTTGACTGGAATTTGTTAAACTGGTTTTAATTATATTATTGAGAAAGTTCTGATAAAAATGACAAATGTTTTCTTTAGATTTATGATTTTATATTGCATAAATATTTATTTTACACTTAAAGGTTTGTTAAAAAAATGATAGAACTGTGTCCATATTTCTCATTTTGAACAAGTAGAATAAATGATTTATAAATTAAATCATTTATAAATTGAGAATGAGAATAAATTTTCTTGCTGCCAGAGAAGTCTGAGATAGAAAAGTTGTGACAGTAGGATTTGGGTTGGGCGATGTGTCAATATTAGATCTTGAATGACTGGAAGAAGCTGTAAAAGCAAAGAGGTTTTAGTGTCATCTGTAGGGCACAGTCTTATATCTTGAGGAAATAAACTTAAACGTCTGTTAAAACTTGAAGAGATGCTAACTTTTTTTATCGGGCGTGAAAACCAGTGAAAAATAAATTTACAGATTTAGAGGTTTGTTGTCTACTTTTCAGTTAGAGCAGGGGTTCCCAACCTGTTTTTCTCAAAGCTGAGCTCCACCTTTCCCAAAGATGCTCTCAATCTAGATCAAAATAAGAATAAAACTTTTATTTTCTTCCCTCTGCTTCCTTTCATTTCATTTAAAAATTGTGTTTTTTTTTTATTTTATATAGATTTTTCTACACGTAGTGGTTTTGACACCCACAGCAGCTACAAGTATTTTAAAATGAGATTAAATATACCACCTCTATATTCCACTTTTATCATTTTTACCCACACAAAAGTAGTAGTCACTTGCAGGTTTGATGTAACTTTGAGTGTTCCCACTAGTGTGTTTACTTTTGTACACACCCATGCAGTTTTTGCTCAAGGGTAGTAATTGTATCTAAGTGCATTGTGGAATGTTCAGCTATTGTGTCCCTTCTTATTCTCTCCCACCAAATATGCTGTTCATTAGAAATAAGGGAGGTTATTTGAGTATTATGCCTCCCTCTCAACAGGAAACTAATGAGCGCTGCACCAAAAGCTCAGTTTTGAGTCAGCCACCATCAAGCGAAGGAAAAAAACTGAAAAAAATCGGTGCTTTTGGCAGGACGGAGCGAAGGGCTTTGTGCTGTTAGAATGCAGAGTTAGGTTTTGGTTTAGTTGGGTGTGTTTTTGTGTGCGCTTACACACATGAGGTCATGGGTGTGTCGTGTGTGTGAATGTGTGTGTGCTGGCAGGGGTCTTGTGGTATCTCAAGGTCATGTTGACAGTACACACACAGACAGCGCCGTGTTCTGTGTGTTTGTGCTGCAACAAAGTTCTGACCAACTTATTTGCTCAGGGTGTAGTCTGGGCCATTTTGTGCAAAAATGGATGTCTTTGCGTTATTGTTGGGTATGCAGACTTCTTTAGCTGTAAAACACATTCAGGAGTAATATTTTTAATGGAGATGGGGTTTTAAATGTTACTGGGTCGAGTGTGCGTTTGTGTTTGCATTTTTCTCCACACCTAACGCCTCCCCAGTGTCCTGTTGAAACAGTGAAGTCGTCTGTTTGTCTAGCAAATATGTGTTTCTTAATCTCTGAGGGGATTTCAGTATCTTTTGTCTTTTTTGTGTGTCTGTGTGTTCATCTGCGTTACCATGAGTCTGTCTGCACCTTTTTTTAACTAACTAAAAAGCCAAAATGTTGCTGTCACCACGTCTTAGAAATGTTCCAATTCGAAACAAAAGGTAGAGTTACATAAATGTTCAACAGCTGTGACTCCAGATGTGTGTGTTTGTGTCTGTGTTTAAAGCACAACGGATAGTCTTGTCTTTTCAGTATTTAAATTGTGACTTATCTTGCATATTTTTAAGCTTCCTTGGAAGAGTATTTTGACGAGATCTGGATCAGGTTTGCATGCCTGAGTCAAGCTGAGATATGTGTGCTCAGGTGATCAAACCATTACGATTTCCTACAAACTGAAGGGAACCAAGTGGCTGGTACGCTGTTCCTCTGTGCAGCACAGGATATTTTAAGGTTTGGTGTCCACCCTATACTTTGAGGTGGAGTCGCTCAAACATTTTTTTTATAAGTGTCTTTATTCTCCGTCAATTATGTTGAGCACTTTGCTTTAATTATTCGAGAATCGTTATTTTTTTCATTTTAGAAAACAACTTTTAGTCTTTTATTTTCTCCCCCCTCTGCTGTGAGCTCAATAAAACGTTTGTGATTTAACAACAGAGTTTATTCAGTGGAAAAGATGAGCAACGTCAAACTGAGTTGTTTGTTGTCTGAAAATGGTTTTATGTTTGCAGAATGCTCTTCCTTTTGTACTTTGGCGTGACATCATTGTGAATGTTATCACCTAGATTAAAGTATTTCCTTAAGCAGAGGCAAAAATATCCGGAGGAATTTAGTTATTGCCTGTGACATGCCTTTTCTACATATATTAAAAGTGAGAGAAAACATCTTGATATTAACGAAATTTGCTATAATGCACACAATTTTATTCATTTTGTCACATAGCTGCCATATTTTAGTTGAATTTGGCGTGGCCAAAGCGAAACAGAAAGTGACGACAAAGGGGAAGTCCCTGATCTTGATTTATTGAACCAATATTATTTGAACTATGACTTCTTCGTCTCTTTCAGCTAATGACTCAAAACGATCTAAGGAAACATCAGATTCTTTGCTATTGTCTGTTGTGAGCCAATGTAGCAATGCTCTGTTGTCACTTCCTGTTACTTTGCATGTGTATATCTCAATAACTGTTCATCTCACTGGCGTGATAAAAAAAAATTCTTGCGATGTGTTCATCTTTACTTTAATATTTATTACAAAAATGTATTATCACAGACACTTCAATGTTACAGGTTCTCGTGTTTGTTTGTTTTTTCAGAACCGGTGGATTCTGGTTTGGATGTGGCTCGAATGTGCGTGGGCCCGGTGGCTGTTGTAGGAAATCGAGACTCTTCCATGAGAGCGGTGCCAGAGGAGGCGACAAAGAGGAGCAGAGAGGAGCTGAGGGAGCTGTGGAGGAAGGCCATCCTGCAGCAGATCCTGCTGCAACGGATGGAGAGGGAGAACCAGAAGCTACAAGGTGAGCTGGATGAAAGAAAAACTTCAGCTGAAATCATCCCAAACCAGACAAGTTTGCTGTATTACCATACGTACAGCAGTGAACTGTTCGTTCAGTGTTCAAGGAGTCTTGACCTGCTTCCTAGAGATATTTAATACATGACATCAAATCCACAAGATCTCTCTAAATATCTATGGACTTCAAAATTATAAGTTTTTATGTAAAAGTATTGTTTTTAGCCCTATTAGCATAGGATACGTATTATCTGGGGACCGCATGTAATAAATAAATTACTCCCCGTCATCTGTTTTTTATGTGGCGCATTAACATGGGATAATCGAAGCCTGAGATTTTGCTGAAATTTACAAGAATCTCCCGAATGTGACATTGAAGCCTGGTTAGTTGATGTGTTGAACACAGCAAGGGTGCGAGCGCCAAAAGTGCTCCGTAATCTGGTTTTGCTCCTTCTCTTCTGCCTTTTCCTTTGGATGCTGCATGTTATGGGTCGGTTCTGTCCGCCCGGGACCCAAAAGGTTTTCAATTCACTGCAATCCAGCCTCCATTCTTCACCAAAAGCAAATAAAACTACACCCAGGAAACAAAAAACACCTAATTACAGCCTATTTCCATCCAAATCACAGAGATGCCTACTCGAATTAGATTAGTGTTATCACAGGACCTCGACGTTCAGTGAAATATAGTAGGTAATTTGCGAGGGAATTTTTACTTTACAATTTACTGACTTGCCCAATTCGCACGGGATTAACAACACAGATTATCTCTAAAATATTACAAATAGCATGTGGTGCCTAGGTAAAACTAATCCCGTCAGAATAGGGCTTTTGCCACTGTTGCTAATGATAAATCAGAAAACATATTATTGCTTCTCACAGGTGGCGACGCGTCATTTATGAACTGCCATCAATCGTGCAAACACTACTGAAAGACACAATACATTTTTGTAGTGTCACACAGCAGGACAAGGCTTTCTTTATCACCTCTTTGGCAATTTGTCCTTCCAGATGTGCACTCAAAGAGATTCTATAATTAAAGACACACCAGCTTTTCTAGCTTTTAAAATTACACAACCACAACTTATTAAGTTATATAATGTTAGTGTGCGTGCGTCCACCTGTGTTTTCTGGTAAGTCGCTCTGGGTGTGCCCGGCGCACCACCCACTTCTCGACCCAGTTGGCTTGAATTTTTATACACAAAGCTGTGCGTCACAGTCTTAACTACCTGTGTAACATGGAAAACCTTAATTCAAACACGCCCAAAACTTCATCTGTCGCATTAATAGAAGTGACTGCTGATACGGCAGGGTGTGGCTCTGCAACAAAAATTCACTCCAGTCACAACAATGAGCACATTTATAGCGTCTGGTGTTTCATTTCTGTCCATTTATGGTTTTTTAGGTTGAGCTCTGTTTCACGTTCTTGATTCTTTCTGCTTGTCTGTCTGCCTGGTTTTTAGGTCAACTTTTGAGTGTGTGCGCTTCCATCTTCATGTGCGTGTCTTTGTCAGCCTCAGGGTGGGGTATCCTGTCCTGTTGTGTGTTATCAAAGGCGGTGTGTTCCGGCAGCAGAGAAAGAGAGGAATACGGGGAGTTGGATTGGAGGAGGAATTCGAAGGTGGAGGGAGTGAGCACCAGCTGGGCTGCTGCCAATGAGCGAGTCTTGATGGGCTAGAATCTGCTTGTTGCAGACAGATAAGACAAACGGCGCAGACTCTGCTCCTCCAACAGCATCTATTCTTACTCTGGGTGTGTCAACCCTCTGCGCCATCCAAGTTTTCTTTTGTTTTTATTGTTCTCGGTGCACTTTCCAGGTCATTATCTTCCCGTCTTTGGCTGCTGAGGCCATAATGAACAACATTTTATTTCATATATTTTGCCCCTAATGCTTCTTTTGCTGTTTTAGGAATTTATTTATTTTTTTCAGTAAGTGTTTGGACAACAGCCTACTAAAGTGGCTCTGGTGTTATTTCAGTGACCCCTGTTTTCTTCTCACCGCATTTTGCTGATGCACTGATAATAATTTAAACTAATTCCCTCCGTTTATTTTTCACATAACACCCTCCATTTCCTGGAAGGTATGGGTGCAGGTTGTAATGTGACACGGTCCACCGTCTCTGTCCTGTCCAAAAGTGATGATATCACTCAGCTGAGCACAGCCAAGTTGCATCTGGTCACTGGGCGTACACCACACATGATCGGAAAGGGTGGAGCATCTGCCTGGGGAAGCGGGGAGAGTGTGGCTGATGGACACAAATGTGGACTGACTGAGCGGATAGAGTTGAGAAGAAAAGATGAGTTGTGGGTGAAGAGGCTGGGGGGAGGCTGAGAGGAAGGGTGTTGTCAGAAAGAGAGGAACAGGAGAGGGGAGCTGGGTGTTTCCTCACTTTCTTTGATCACTGGTGTCAAAACATCAGAAATCACGGTTTAGGTGTTTATGTTGGCTGTTAATCCTCTGAAACTTGTTTAAACAATACAGAAAATATCTTGATGCTTAGTCACCCAAATTATCATTTAAATTATGATGTCCAGGTGGTATTCTCTTCCTGTGGTGAACTGTAAAGGTCCAGATCACAGTACTATTGGATATAGACTCCTGAAGAAGGACATTGAGGCAATCAGACAACAAAAACCACAAGACTACAACAATGAGTTGTTACATTAGTAACATGCGTTGTGTGTGTATTTGTATCTGCAGCCTCAGAGAGTGATCTGCAGAACAAGCGCCTGAAGTTGGACTACGAGGAAATCACTCCATGTCTAAAGGACGTCACTCTGGTGTGGGAGAAAATGCTGGGAACTCCTGGGAGATCAAAGGTCAAATTTGACTTTGAGACCATCCATGATGCTGTTGCACAAGGTACATATTTATCCCATCCAGTCCAGCTTCGTTTATCAAGCACTTTTTAAAACAACCAACTAAGGACTAAAGTGTTAGCTTCAGGCCCAGGCTGCCATTGAAATAGAAATCTGTGACCTCAGTGGGATTTGCCTGGTTTAAAAAATGTTAAATTAAAATAAACAAAGATTTGTATGTTTGTGTGTGTATATATATATCTTTTTTTTTGGCACAGTTGGGACCCAGTCCTCACATGTCAGTCTTGTCCTGTCTGTCTCATCTGTGCAGGCGTCCCGAGGCAGCATCGAGGTGAGATCTGGAAGTTCCTCTCTGAGCAGTTCTTACTCAGGCAGACGGTTCCCTCTCGGCCTCCGTCCAATCACACTCCGTACAAAGAGCTGCTGAAACAACTCACCTCGCAGCAACACGCCATCCTCATAGACCTGGGTAACACGCATGCAGATTCACATCCTTTTTATTAAGTTGGATTAATCAATCCAAAATGGCTATGTATCAGGTTGAATAGATACACTGACCAGTGGCCACCAAAAAAAAGGTCACGCACTAATATTTTGTTGGACCGCCTTTAGCTTTGATTATGGTATACAATGACTGTGGTATTGTTTCAGTAAACTTCTGCAATGTCACAAGATTTATTTCCATCCAACGTTGCATTAATTTTTCACCAAGCTCTTGCATTGATGATGGTAGAGTCTGACTGCTGCACAAAGCCTTCTCCAACACATCCCAAAATAAACTCATTCAGTCAAATAATTGCTCTATCTCTAGTGGTGGGCACAGCTCCCTTAAAGCACTAAGATGGGAACTAATTTCCTGATTAGTGCTTTAGGGCTTTTGCTACTTTTTAAATACATTAGTGGATTAGCACTTGCTAAATTTATGGGTTTAATTTAGAAGCACTAAGTGAGGTCATTAAATGTTATTGATCAACATCACACATTTTGTTCATATGTATCACTTATCCTGTGACATTTTGACAATATTCTGCACACAGTAAATATTGTCTCATGTTAACTTTGAAGAATGTACCAGGGGTCAATTATATTAGTGCTTTAGAATTAGCTTTTGCTACATTTTTCAGTGTGTTAGTGCTTTAGGATTAGTGGACCTAAATATTTGAGTTAGTGCTTTGGGGTTAGTGCAGCTAATTTTTTAATTAGTGCTGCTCACCACTGTCTAGGATAAACCACAGACTTTCATTTGAGGTCCAGATGTCAGTGGAAATCTTATGGAGTTGTCATGTTTTAACATCTTTTTCACATATTTTTGGTGTCTGCAATAAGCCTCTGTTTGAAGAAAATGGTACAACTCGTTCAAACGTTCAACAACTTTTTTGCTTTTTCCTTTAAACACGCAAAAACATGAGTATTAAAACTGCAGGCAACTATTTCATCCGATTCGCAAAAACAAAACTGAATCTATTATTTATCGGTTTAGTTGATATTACATTAATCTTTTTTGTAAGCCCCAACTAAAAACTGCCAAGTGATTGACCTTTTTAACTTCCTCGTTTTTACTGTAGAAGAAAAAAAATCAAGATTTGTGATCAGTGGTTTAGAAATGTGCACTAAAGAAACTGTTTGCAGCGATCCTTTAACACAAAAGTTAATCAGCAGCAGCTTCTAACACCTACCACCCAAAAACCCACACATACAGTACCTCCACCCCACCCATATGACACCCACATATTGTTACATACACATCCACCCACACATGGAAACCCTGCAGCACTCAGCCGCCTGCGTTTGTACCGTTGACCTCGTGTCATTCAGCCGTCTTTGGTAGTTCCCTCTACTTCAGACAGGAAGGTAAAAACAGCATTCTCTCGAGTGGTTTACTGACATTCCTTATTATAAAGGTGTGAGGCATAAAAACAAAGCATTTATGATGGAGGCAGCAGGCAGGTATGTCAACTAAAGCTGCACATCTTAACTTAAAAAAGCTAAAGTGTTCAGCGCTCCCTTGCCTGCGATCCAGTCGCACACTTCTACAGCCAGGGTGGGGCATTATGGCTTTATGTTCACAAAACGTAAAGCCCCCGGAGCACATTCCACACAGGAAAAACTCACACTTTGTCTTCTTCGCACACTGCAGGTTACACAGTCTCCAATCCTAAAGTACACATACCTTCTAATTGCCTGTCTGTCTGTGTTAACAAGGTTGTTTTATGGATCCAAGACTTGGTGAGCTTCACTTCTTGTTCTGAAGTGGCTGTCCAATATTTCACTGCCGTTAAAGTTGCATGTGTGTTTTCAAGAACAAATATTTAAGCAGGGATGATGCATGTTCCTGTAGAGTTGTTTCATTTATTTTGCATCGGCAGCACAAAGTTAAATCTAGCGTCCCAGCGCGAAGTTCACCAGTGTGTACATTTTGTTCCACCATGTGTACAGGCCTTTATCTGTTTTTGGATCACTCTAGTCCGATTCTTGTACAAAATAATGCCAGACAAAAGCAAGAATCTCAATTTGCTGCTGGGTTTTAAAGGTTTCTGAAACTGATACTTTTTCTGACATTCTATAAAATTCATTTTTGTCTTTTAAGTTTTATTGCTTTAGCATTTAGAAGCTAATACTTTGCATTAAATAATACTTTTAATGTCTTTTTCTGCTCCAGGTCGCACTTTTCCTACCCACCCGTATTTCCAAGCCCAACTGGGGGCAGGACAGCTCTCACTGTACAATATACTGAAAGCCTACTCACTGCTCGACCCTGAGGTAGCTTTGTCCACTTCTAATGGTGCTTTTCTTCTTTCACGTAGTGGAATCAACAGGGATGTCATCTGCTTTTGTTTAACTTAGAGTTTTAACCCTTGTTCTTGTAGGTGGGTTACTGTCAGGGCCTGTCCTTCATTGCTGGAGTGTTGCTTTTACACATGGGGGAGGAGGACGCCTTCAACATGCTCAAATTTCTCATGTTTGATGCTGGTCTGCGGAAACAGTACAGGCCTGACATGATCATCCTGCAGGTAAACAGCACAGCAGGTCAGCATCGTTGTGTTGAAGATGCCTGACTGAAACCGTTTCAATCAGGTTGGATTAGAGAAAGACCAAGAAGTCGGTGTAGAACCAGCTTCTGATTTATCTGACCTGCCAGAGGCTGAGCGTTGCACATGTGTCTGTTCTGCCACTTTGAACCAGACTAAACTGAGGCAAATACACATTCAGCCATAGAGTATTCTTTTCTATAAAAAATCCCATAAAACAAATCGATTTAATTTCAAAAATATATTACAATTAATTACGATTAAAATTTTAATTAATGTCCAATACTAATTTTAATTAATTTATATTGATTTATTTTGTGATTGTTCATATCTCTATAATTTAATTAAAGCAGTCTTGATTTGGCATTTTACTAACATGAACTAAGTAACAAGGAGGTCCTATAGAACAGCTGGAGTGCGCAAAGACCACGTGACCGTGTGATTGGCTGGAGAAACTAACGGCTAACGCTAAACGGGCAAGAGTCTGGATTTCCCTTTACTGTACATGTTGACAACAGAGCCGAACAACAGGACTGACGATGTAGAAATCACAAACTATTAATATTAATATTAATCCAATTATTATTAATAGTTTAGTTTATATAATTTGTTTAATGTTTTAAATAATGTCAGAAAAGCTGTTTGTGTTATGGATTTATTAACAGAAGATAAACAGGAAAACATCTCATTTCACGTAAAAGTCAGCAGATTTGATCTTTTTTAGCTCAATGTGATCTGAGCAGAACATAATGTAACAGTTTTAAAATAAACATAATCTTATAAAGTCGATGTAATCACTTTATTAAAAGTGGTTAGCAGATGTTAACTTGTGGAGCATATATACAGAGTTTAGCACTGTTGAATCATGCAACAATTTAACACAAACTATTAAATATTACTGATGATTTGTCATCTGATTAATATTTAGACCTACAGTGTAAAATAATATTATAAATGTMTCTGATTAATATTTAGACCTACAGTGTAAAATAATATTATAAATGTGAGTAATTTTAGGTTTCTGTTAGAGGAACCTGACCTGTTAAGATGGTTAGCTAATAGAGACAAGTTTCATCCTATAACCAGAGAACATTTTCTAACTGTTGACTGATAAATATAAATATTCTTATTTTTTATGACAATAAGAAGAAATATTAAATATACTTTTATTACTAGCTGAAGTCATCATTTTTCAACTAGCTAAAGTTTAAGTTACAGGCTGACTTCAGGACTGTTTAAGATCATTGTTGTTTATAAATAATATATTTTTCTGGTATAAATCTGCTGTTTTACATGATTGTTGAATGAAATTAACATAATTATTAATTTATTTTAAAAACATGACTGATAATCTGTGAAACAAATCCGGTTCAGCTGCTGTTTATCTATTAGTTTCTATGGAGGCTGTGAGCTGTTGCCCTTTTAGACACCATTTTTGCTCCTCCTTGCTGTTACAAACACTACCAGTGTACGGTATGGGTGGGACTCAATCTAGTGATATTTAAGTCTGTGCTAAGTAATGAAGCAGAAAACATGTTTTCTTACTTCTAGGTTACCATTTACTAAAAGATCATTTTACTTTATCAGGCTGAAAACAGTTGTTTTGATGGAAAGGCTCAAAACTAATAAACATGTATTTCACCATGTTTTTAAATATAAAAACATATTAAATATGTCGCTCCAGTTAAAAGCTGCGATGTGATTTGTCTGTCAGATTCAGATGTACCAGCTGTCACGGCTGCTTCACGACTACCACAGAGATCTGCACAGCCACCTGGAGCAGCAGGAGATCGGGCCCAGCCTGTACGCCACCCCCTGGTTCCTGACTTTATTCGCCTCACACTTCCCCCTGGGCTTCGTGGCCCGAGTGTTCGGTGAGATCTGAGAGCCGGGTTTGTCTCGTTCGGACTTTACATGGTCACTGCAGAGAGGCTGACTCCTCTGATTAGAGCTGAGTGTTGGAGCAAAACAGTTACAAAACTGTGACTGCAGGCAGCACAGAGGAAACAGTCATTTTTTTACACATTAAATAGGAGATTTTTAAATATCAAACATTTTCTTGAACATTAATTTACATTTGATTTGTTTCTGTTTACTTAGTAGAGTCATTTTTTTTAACAAGCAGAGTTTGTATCAGTTTGTTTCATGTCATCTTTCCTTCATTCCATCGTTTTTCATGCTATTTTTACTGTATCTTGCTCTGTAACTGAACCAGACTGACTGGCTCCTTGTGCTCATCTGAGCGGAACAATTTGTGTGTGTGTGTGTTCGTGCAGGCCTCAGTATGAGGGCATCTTCTGTTCGCTATCACGCGTTTGATATCGTATGAGGGGCTCCACACCTCCACTCCCATTTTCTCTTTCTTTTTTTTTTCCGTGTGTGTGATCTCATGCGATGTTGCCTAACCCAAACCACACCCTGATGTATTCAAAGAATGACACTTGAAACGCGCACACCTCTGGATTCACCGGAGCATATATTTGTGTTTGCTGAAGCGTTTGTTATATTGACGTCAGATTATCCTCTTGGTAAAAAAAGCTTTAAAGTCACTAATAAATACAGTAAGCTCTGCTGTCAGCACATGCTTTTATCAATTCTACATCAGTTATTTTTATAGTTTTCACATCAGCACCTTTACTGTTCTTCCATGTCTTTTTTTTTTATTCAGTAGCCTTCTGTTTTTCTCTCTTTTTTTTTAGATATGTTGTTTCTGCAGGGTTCAGAGGTCATCTTCAAAGTGGCGTTGAGTCTTCTCGGCAGCCACAAGCCTCTTATTCTGCAGCACGACAGCCTGGAGTCCATAGTGGACTTCATTAAGACCCTGCTGCCCAACCTGGGCCTGGTGCAGATGGAGAAAACAATCAACCAGGTATAAAACTGAATCAAATCTTTAGTAATAATTAACCACTTCTTTACTCATTAACCTGCTTTAACAGAAAACGAAACATCAAAGATTCATTGAAACTAGCTGTGACTCAAATTGCATCATGTAGTTGTGATTTTAATAAGTGACAACAAATTGTGACTAACTACTAAAAGGTACATTTTGCTTTCTTTTATACCTCTCACACCTCCTATGGAAAAAAAAAAAGCGTAACAAGTCACAGCAGGTTCGTGGCTCCGTGTTGATTTCCATTTGTGTAGCTCGAAGCCCACGCAGTCTTCCAGCGAGCTGTTTGTCCAGAACCAGGAAGGAAAGAAAAACGGCAGAGTTTAAAGATGAAGGCTTGCAGGCACCAACAGGCCAGAATCAACACATCGGTCCTGGTCACGTTAACAGAGCCTGTTTGAACACAGAAGATGGCCAAAGGGTGGAGCTCTTCAGGGTCATGGTTGAATTATAATGTGAGGTCTTAAGAATCCATTTGATCTGTTTATTAAGCTGTTTTTCACAGAATCAAAATTTTTTCCCTACTTTGATTAATCCTTTCTTGAGGGTTTACTAACAGACATCGTGTTTGAGGGCAGGCAATAGATCATTTAGTTTCAGTAACATATAAAACTTGGCAAAGTTCCTTCATCTAAACAAATCGACAAACCTGTAAAACTGCACACACCACCTGCGGTTAACTGCAGAAAAGTCAATAAAACTCTGTTTAATTTATGTAAACAGGTCAAACTTCCAACTGAACAATTGTTTAAGAACCGACAATGAAGCTGCTGCAGGATAAAAATTAACCACGCATATACAAACACACACAGTTTCCAGTTTCTCTGTTGAATTGACCATTAAAGGAGAAATACCTGACTGATTTATAAACCTGTTATTTAGGTGACAGTTCTATTGATGATGTTGAATATTACGAACTGATTTTACAATTTGTAGACAGTCTCTAAAACCTTGTCTCGCTTAAACCGTTGTTTTTCTGTTTATCTTAAATCCAGAGTAAGATAATGTTAAATAACTTCAATAAAAATAATTGTTTATCTTATATTTTTTATGGAATATTTGAATTTTTACCCTAAGGGTAAATATCAGGAGTGGTGCATTAATTAAAGACTGAGTTTATTTTACAGTACTTTCACTTTAGAGCAGTGTTGTATGAAGTACCACAAAGTGAAACTTGAGTAAAAGTACAAGTATCTTACTAAAAATTACTTTGGTAAAAGTTAAAGTCTCCTTTAGGAATATTACTAGAGTAAAAGTACAAGTATTTTACCAAAAATACTTTGGTAAAAGTTAAAGTCTCCTTTAGGAATATTACTTGAGTAAAAGTCTTAAAGTATCTGATATTTTTTGTACTTATTAAAAGTAAAAGTATTGATTTAAAATGAGGAGTTAAATTTTCTGTAATGACATTTATTAGGAGGTGACCTCCCCCCAAAAATGCAGCAATAACTATATTGTATTAAAATAATTAATTTATGTTAAATTTAGGATGTACTGTTTCAGTTTATATACATATATCAAGGCTGCCCAAACATTTTCCACAAAATGAAAATCTATCCGAGGGCTGCTCTAATTCATGAAATACAAATACTTCTTAAGTACAGTACTTTTATTTTAATGATTGTGTCCTACTGGAGTGTGACTTGATTTGTTTGTGTACAAACTAATATGGTATCAGAATTTTAAATATTTATACTTCTCATTCAGCCACAATTAAATTCACTCTAAGAGGCACAATTTATATGGATAGTATTTATTTTTTACAATAACAAGCTGGAATGAAAACAAGCAAAAATGAAATAAAAGTAACGACTTTCTACTTCTTGCCTTTTTTAAAAATGTAAGGAGTAGAAAGTACAGAAAACTGTGAAAATGTAAGGAGTAGAAGTAACAAGTATGCTGAAAAATAATTACTCAAGTAAAGCACAGATAACCAAAAATTCTACTTAAGTACAGTAACAAAGTATTTGTGCTTAGTTACTTTACAACTCTGGTTTAGAGTAATTATATTTGGAGGGATTATTTAACCCCAGTGTTTCCCCTAGGAAATTGGTCTGGGGGGGAGCTACTTGTTTTATAAAAACATAAATTTACGTGACTCACCTGCAATTATGGTAATAAATTTACACGAACATTTAATTGCCCAACTACATCCTAGTTAAGGACTCCTCATGATAATTATCAATAAAATTATTATTGATAATAAGTGATCAGAACTGTGTGCAGCAGATGATCTGAGTCCAGAGTTGTCAGTTTGAAACCTTCTGGAGCTCTTCTGTGTGACTCTAGATGTGACACAGTGTGGATGGTTGATTGTCTCTTTATGTCTCTGATGGAGACTGGAGACC